TGTGTGAGTGTACCGTCAAATCAGATCTGACTGGTACAGGAGGAGATTGTCCCTCCTTCCCCGGCAGAGCATCTGGTGGATTCGAACCATGCGCCTCTGGGATTGTAGTTGCAGCTCCTTACCACTAGGCCACCAGAGCTCCCCTTAGGTCATCATTCTTATTAGTTCACTCAATTCTTAAAACATCTATAGAAATAGTTTTGATTATGGCAAGTTTACAATGAGGAAGTAGGTCCAGGCAGGTAAAGAAAGAGTGAGACTGCCCTGAGGCATCAAACCCGACTCAGCTCCATTCTCACCACCCGTGAAGCCCATCCTTCTTGAGATGGCCTCTGAGGATTTAATTTTACGTAGACCCACAGTCAATGCAGCAGTCAGGAGAGTAAATGACATACATGCTGCATTGAGTAAAGGTGTCACTTTGAGGATGAAAGTGAACCTGACCAAACCATAGTGTTCATTTGTTTCATATGCATATGAGCACTGGACAAAGACTATGGAAGACTGAAGAAGAATTGATACCTTTACATTGTGGTGTGAGTGAAGAATACTGACTATGCACTGGACTGTCAAAAGAACAGACAACTCTGTCTTGGACTTATAGCCAGAATGCTCCTAGAAACAAGAATAGCAAGACGTTGTCTCATATACTTTGGATGGATTATCTGGAGGGACCAGTGCTTAGAGAAGGACCCCATGCTCAGTAGAGAGTCAGCAAAAAAACAGGACGTTCCCAGTGAGCTAGACTGACGGTGTGCCTGCAGAATGGCTTAAACAGCGCAGCAGCTGTGGGATGCTGTAGTGATAGAGGACCACTATGAGTGGGAGCTGACTCGAGATTGCCTAAGAAGGAGGAGCAGCAGCTCTCCTGTAACACATGAGGTGCCATCATTTGGATGAAACACCATGATACTTTGTTTCTATTACATTTCTCAATTATTCAGCTGTTTTTAAGAATAATTTTTAAACTTGATTTCCACTTTTCCTCTCACTTCTGTTTAGATTCTCTTCCTGGACATGCTGTTGCCCTCTGTTTATCTGTTGCCTTTAAAAGTAAGGCCACCAATGATGAAATCTTCAGTATTTTGAAAGATGTACCAAATCCCAACCAGGATGACGATGATGGTAAGACAGTTAGATGTGTCCTGTGTAGAACTGTATATAGGCCATGTAAAAACAAAACATACCTGGCAACATGGCTTCTGCTCCAATCCCATTGGCTGCTCATAAACAGTATATTTATTTGACCTGGTTAGCTAATTATTTGTTCCTAGAGTTCAAATATTTCTTTCCTTTTATAAAAAAGGATTTATACAGTTCTATGAAATAGGATCCTAAGTATGTAGGAAAATAAAACATCATCATTCAGTGGTTTTAAAACATTCCTTGCTTTCACTGTAAAGAGGTTTCTGAATGGAAAGACTTCTGTTTTATGATGTTATGTTTTCTTCAGATTAAGCTATCCAAATTAAATAACATTTTCTGATTATCATGTAGTTAACCAAAATCCTAGAAGTGGTTTGATGGTCACTGGTATTCTCAAACATCTCACATATTGAGAGTTATATATTAACTATTAATTTTGCTGTATAGAGAGAATATGAACAAGGAAATCTGGGACATGATGGATGGATGGATGGATAGATAATTTTTTTTAGAGCATATAAAAGAATTTTAAAAACATTCACAAAGAACTAAAAATTAAATTTAAGACCCTGGTTGAGATGGATTGATACAGTAGCTAGGGCAGTGGGAGTTGGTGTGTTGGAGTCAGTAAGACTGGCTCAGGACAGGGCAGGCTTCAGAGTTGTTGTAAATAGGGTTGCTGTGAGTCTCAGGCAACTCGATGGCATGTAACAACAGTTGTAGATGTAAAGTATTTTAAATTGGTAGGTTTTTTGGTATTGTGTTTTAGTACTTCTAGAAGTTACAAAAACATCTGACCTACTATTTAGATATGAACAGACTATCTTATTAAATGAAGCACCAATAAATGCTTTTCTTTCATCTTCCTGATTATCTTACTATGGATTACATTTCAGATGAAGGATTCAGTTTTAATCCACTGAAGATAGAAGTCTTTGTACAGACTTTGCTACATTTGGCAGCCAAATCGTTCAGCCACTCCTTCAGTGCTCTTGCCAAGTAAGCACAAGATGACACTTTTCTTGAGGGTCTGAGACTTTGCTTGCTAAATGTCAGTGGCATAGACATTTTTACTGAAATTGTTGGGTATAACCTTAGCAATGATATTGTCATAAAATTTAGTCCATTGAGTTTTCTAGTAATTCAAATCCCTATCTCATGGCAGTCAGTCTCTATATGTGTGGTGTTAGGTAGCATTGAGTCAGAACCAACCGATAACAGACCCTTCAGCAGGTTTTTAGAGGCAGTTAATTTGCACAGGAGGAGACTGCCCATCTTTCTTCACAAAGCAGCTGGTGGATTCAAATGTCATGCCTCTGAGTTGGCAGTGCAGCTCCCTATGTGTGTAGAATATACTTCCCCACCCCACCCCCACCTCCCATTATGAAGAGAGAAATTAATGGAAAGACGTAGATACTTTAAATAGTCTTGTATGTAGTCAGAGGCTTTTACCTTAATGGAAGTAAACAGTGAAAGCAGAGCATTTTGGGGAGCACCTGGAGGTTGGCAGTTTCCTAACTTGTCAGACTTCAGTTGATGCAAGAATAAATTCTTCCAGCCAAGCAAAGGAAAATTAGCTCCTCTTCCTGTCTGAACTCTCATTACACCATATTGTTTGCTAGTTTCCCACAGAAGATACATACTGAGAATCTGCCCCTGTATTTAGAGATAGTTCTTGAACACTTATTTAATAGACACACAGCAAACTTTAGTACTGTTATAATAATACCCATTTCCATCAAATCAGTTCCAACTTATAGAAACTTTATCCTACCCTGTGGGACAGAGTAAAAATGGTTCATGGTTTTTATAAGGTTGTGATCTCAAAAACCAGCTGCCATATCTGTCTGCCACAGAGCAGCTAGTAGTTTTGATCCACCAACCTTTTTACTTAGCTGTTAAGCACTTCACTCTGCCACCAGAGCTCCTTGGGTTAACGACAGTATATTGTAAATTCTTTTAGGGCTTTGTGACAGGTTCCATAAAAAGTATGAATTATGATCATACGTTTTATGTTCTTAATGGTTAATATTTTGCTTTTGCATTTGTGTTTGAAAAGACTTTTAAAACATTAACATGTTTAGCTTTTCCTGTGAGCGGCTTCAGGTAATCGGCCAACATGGTTCGCTACTCGCTTGACCCGGAAAACCCCACAAAATCATGCAAATCAAGAGGCTTAAATCTCCGGGTCCATTTTAAGAACACCCGAGAAACTGCCCAGGCCATCAAGGGTATGCATATCCCGAAAGCCACCAAGTATCTGAAAGATGTCACCTGGCACAAGCAGTGTGTACCCTTCCGACGATACAACGGTGGAGTTGGTAGATGTGCCCAGGCCAAACAGTGGGGTTGGACACAGGGTCGGTGGCCCAAAAAGAGTGCCGAGTTTTTGCTGTATATGCTTTAAAACGCCGAAAGTAATGCTGAACTTAAGGGTTTAGATGTTGATTCTCTGGTCATTGAGCATATCCAGGTGAACAAAGCTCCCAAGATGCGCCGCCGCACATACAGAGCTCATGGTCGGATTAACCCCTACATGAGCTCCCCCTGCCATACTGAGATGATCCTTACTGAAAAGGAACAGATTGTTCCTAAACTGGAAGAGGAGGTTGCCCAGAAGAAAAAGATCTCCCAGAAGAAACTGAAGAAACAAAAACTTATGGCTCGAGAATAAATAAATCATTAAATAAAATAAAAAAAAAAACCAACATGTTTATTGAAAAATAATTTGGCTTTTCCCTTCATTATCAAAGGTTTCATGAAGTCTTCAAAACCCTCGCTGAAAGTGATGAGGGAAAGTTACATGTCCTGAGAGTTATGTTTGAGGTCTGGCGAAACCATCCTCAGGTAAAAACAACTACTATGTGAATAATGAAGTAAATCAGTTATTTAGCTAAACCTTTGATTTACTTTATAAAACATGAAATTTTTTTCTGTGTTAGAGAAGTTTTTAAATCTTGAATTTCTTTAGGGCTGGAGAAAAAATGCTGTTTGATTCATTCTTTGAATATCAAGTGCTAATGATTTGACTTTGGGCGATAGTACCTCAACACATTTTAAATGTTTAGTCAGATTGCTTATTGTTAATAAGATTCTGCCATTTGAATAGGAAATGGTTATCTAATTTCTAGAAACAAGCTTCAGTTTCTTCAAATTTCAATATTAAAGAGTTATTGAAATAAATTTCATAATCTAAATTATTAATATCAATTAAAGCCAAACATAGGAGAGAATAAATCTTAAGCCTTAACGGTTGAATTGATCCCTTAGCCATTGGAAAGAAATTTTACGGAAGTTCTGTTTTTAATTTTGCAGCAATAGTGGTCTTTTTTTTTTTTACTTGTGTGAAGTGTGATTTCTCCTAATAACATGTCTGTCATTTTAGATGATTGCTGTCCTCGTGGATAAGATGATTCGTACGCAGATTGTTGACTGTGCTGCAGTAGCAAATTGGATTTTCTCTCCAGAACTATCTCGGGACTTTACTAGGTAATATAGAGTCTAACAATTAGTTTATTTGTAGTCACTTCAATAGAAGCTCTAAATTCTGGTCCAAACCAGCTTTATACCTAAAGGAAAAAGCAGCCCCTCTTACCACTAGGCCACCAAAGCTCCCCTTTATCTTCAAGATTGCAGCACAGGATCTTACCACTAGGCCAGCAGAGCTCCCTCTTGTATATCTTATCTATTAGTTGTTGGAACTTTAAAAGACAAGGTAATATCTTCAGAGAGCTCACATAATTCTAATGGGTAGAGAGAGATGCTTGTACAATTGACAAGGCAAATCCCAAGTGTTAAATAGAGTAAGAGTTGAGGGTGAGAGAGAGACAAAAAGAAACTGGTACCAGGAAATGAACAGGCTTTTATTGCATGGCCTAAGAGGGACACCAAGTGACCACGAGCAGAGGTTGTCAAAATGGCACAAGGGTGGTATAGAGCAGCCTCTTTTTATAGGAGTTCTGTGGGGGACAAGGGAAGATGGTATTTTGCTCAGAATCTGGGGCTGTTAATTACCTTGGGTTTGGGCTTTTATGATCAGGCCCAGAGCCTTATCAGGATGCATTGTCTGGTTTGGTGTTTGGTCTGGTTTCTGGTCCGGGGTTTTCTTTGATCTCTGCTCCAGTCACCTTAGATCTTACCAGGTTTCTCAAGGAGTGATCAGGCCTGGGGGCAACTGCTATACTCTTCCTCCACCAAGTATTACTGAATAAAATACCATAGTTTTGCCAAAAGGGTGAGAGGCTTTAGATCTTAAGAGTGAGTAGTTCTAAAACTTAAAAGGATTTATTAGCTATAAGCATAACTAACTTTAACATGCATTGACCAAATGCAAAATTACTTTAAGATTGTTTGTTTGGGAAATCTTGCACTCCACAATTCGTAAGATGAGCAAGCATGTTCTGAAGATCCAGAAAGAGCTAGAAGAAGCTAAAGAAAAGCTTGCAAGGCAGCACAAACGGGTAAGTCTTGTATCAACATTTTAATGTTAAAGAGAGGATTGTAGAAACACTTCAGAATTGTTACAAGTCCATTACTTGATGGTACTGTTTCCTGATCCCTGTTTATATAGGGCTGTTTGAAGTAGTGCAGGAGGAGGATCAGTATGAGCTGTTAGGTCTGATGATGAACCTATGTAGGAAGCTGCAAACTGTTGTTCACAGTTCACACCTCTACTTAAAGCTTCATGTTTGCCCTGCTAAGAGGGAAGGAGGAGAGGAAGAAGGACACATGTTTGGTTTTTTTTGTTTTTTTTTTTCAAATTACTCCGACCAAGAAACAGAATTTACTGGTTCATAAAAGCAGAGGGGAGAAAGGTGAGACTTTCTTCAGGAAGGAATGTTCCCAGGGACCTGAGTGTGTCACTGGGACCCTGTCTCTTCAACTTTTTTTTTTAATTATTATTAAATTTTATTCGTTTTAATGAACATTTACAGAGATTTTGGGTTTTCATTCATTCATTGTTGCACTGTTTTCTCTACCCTCCTCCCCAGTTCGTTCTTCTTCCCCCCCAATGTCTGTTTTAATTGTCCAGTTGCCACAGTGCTTATCAAAGCCAGTTCTGATTAATCTTCTTTGTCAGTGTGTCCTTTGCCATTCCCTGTCACTCCTCCCAGGGAGGACACATGTATTTTTTATAAGTTTTCTTAAGTATTGTAATTTTTTTAAGTTTCTGGTATAAGAGGAAAAGGAGAGATTGTAGCGTTCACTACTTCTTAAGTACTGTGAAGCATGATGGTGTATTTATAAAATACTTCTCATTAATAGAAGATTTAGCATTTTAGCATTTTTTTTGAGGAAGCAGTGAGTGATCTAACTGTATCGTGTGATTTGGCATAATGGTACTAATATTCCTTGTGATAGTATTGTCCAGTGCTGTTTAAACAGTGTTTACCAGGGTAGAAGTTGAGATACAGGTTTGGAGGCGAGGGGACAAATGTAATGATTTCTGTGACTCTCTAGGAAGTTTAAGTGCCAGACTGTCTATAGCTACACATTTACTCATGCTCGGAGGGGAGGGGTGGATGGGTGGTGGAAGTGTGAGAGAGAGTGTAAACATGCAAATGTAAAACACTGTGAAGTAAATGGCATCCCACTTTATAGATCTATAAACTGAGGCTCAGCAGTTAAGTAACTTGCTCACTGTTACATAGCTAGTGAGTGGCAACGTTGGGCTCTGACCAAGACCTGTCAAGTCCATAGGGTTTTTTTTTGTTTTTGTTTTTTTTAATGCCACACTTGTCCCTGATAACTGAGTTGTCTGGTATGGTAGTCACTAGCCACGTGTGCTTTCACACAAGTCCCATTTCATGTATTCGATCTGTGAATGTCCATCATCACAGGAAGCTGTCATGCTGTGAATGTCCGTCATCACAGTGCAACTCTAGAATAGTACCTAGTGGTGCTAAGAAAACATGGTAGTCCATTTCCTAGAACATAAGGTGTGCTAGGGATGCAAGGAGGTTCAATGAATATGGGAAGTTGAGAGTTCGTGTCATTTGTTATGGAGTCAAGTGGGCTTTTCTGCATGGGGCCTTAAGAAGGTAGTATTGCCTAGAAAGGTTTGGTGATGACCACCCTCGTCATAAGAACTTTGTTCACAACATGCCTGAGTCAGGGTCTGCCTCAGCCTCCTGTTGTTTGTGTGACTCTGGGAAAGTCAGCTGACCTAGCTCATCTACTTCAAATGGAGATACTTCCCTTTCCTATCTGTAAAGATTGATGTGTACCTTGTTTTTCAGCTGCTTTTAAAAAAAGAAAACCTAGTCCTCTACATTCCTCAGAGCAAAGAGAGTCAGGAAGAGGAGGCTTATCACCTCCATGAATTGCTTACTTTGCCTGAGAACAGAACTTGTTGGTTCCTGGAAACCATTACTGAATATTTTGATCAAAGATTTCATAAAAGAATCCTAGTCAAAAGGGAGAAATGCAGAACAGAATTTGAAAATCTCAAGGACTTCAGCTTTCCTGTAGCCACCGTGGCTAGATACAAACCCTGGAGATTATTTCCCTGAGATAATCTTTAGACTGAACTTAAACTAAAATGGCCTCTGAAGTCTCCTTAAAGCCAAACAGCAGTTCAGCTTAACTAGTTAAGAAAGTCTGCCTTGAGCATTATACTCTTTTTTTTTTTTTGAGCATTATACTCTTAAAAAAATCTATTCAAATTTGTATTCTAATTTTATAAATAAACTAATAGTGAAAAAAAATTTAAAAAAATATATATGAGATCGGCAAGTTCTGGTGGCCTAGAGGCAAGAAGCTGCACTGCAATCCCAGAGGTGCGCAGTTTGAATCCACCAGATGTTCTGCCGGAGAAGGAGGAACAATCTCCTCCTGTACCAGTCAGATCTGATTTGATGGTACACACACACAAAAATAATGAAATAAATTTTTTTTAAAAAAAAATCTATATGAGATCAAATTGACAACAGCAACTCCAGAGAATAACTTGAGGGGTCATTCAGTTTGTCAATGCGATAATAACTCAGCAAAGGAGGGTGAGAGTGTTCCACAACGCAGAGTAGTCAATGCCACTAAATGATCCATAGAGAAACTTGAATTGTTTTGCATTGTATAGTCTTAGTAACCACAAAGTAAAACTTAAAAGAAAAGATATGCTAGTTTTTCATGGCGCTTAATTGCTGTTTTCATTTTTAATAGAGGAAAAACTGTGATCTCTTTTCCTCCACTTTTCCATCACAAGTACTATAGATTTCACTGCCTTGTTGCTCACTGCTGTTAAGGAGAACTACCCCGTAAGGTTTTCAACCTTGTGAAGATCACCAGGTCCACCCTCTGAGGTGCCTCTGGATGAATTTAAAACCAGTCATTTCAGCTAATAGTCAAATGCTTAACCACTTTTACCACCCATGAATGGCATTTAATACTCTACGTCTAGATAAATACAACTTGAATGAGAAGACTGTTTCTGAAACATTCATGGACTTTGTGGTGTGGGGAAGCTTGGAGGTACTTTCTGTACAGAATAGATATCCATGTAACACTAAACAATGTTTTCCTTTTCTTCCTTTATGTTCTGTAGCGAAATGATGATGATGACAGAAGCAGTGACAGGAAAGATGGGGCTCTTGAGGAACAAATAGAAAGACTGCAAGAAAAAGTGGAATCCGCTCAAAGTGAACAAAAGAACCTCTTTCTTGTCATATTTCAGGTATTTTGGCTTGGGACATTAATATGTAATAAGAAACTATCTTGAAAGTAGTACATGTTGATTAATAGAATTTATAAATAAGTCACCTCAGTCTACTGCTTAGTCATTAACTATGCATACTTTGAATTCTGTGTCCCTTGGCATTTGACATGAACACATTTTCATGCTTTAGTAAAAACTTTTTTTAAAAAAATTCATTTGTCTCTTACTTAGTTGTTGAACATGTAAATTATGGTTTTTCTTCTTGGTGGATATGTTTAGTTACTTAAAGTTAAGTGCCAAGAAATAAAATTGCTAAGATATAAGTGCTTTAGACCTGGCTGTATGCTATAAAGCCAATTCCAATCTATAGCAACCCTATATTGCAAGATACCATTTGTCCCATAGAGTTTTCAAGGCAAAATCTTTACAGACAGCCACATCCTTTACTACAGAAAACTGGTAGGTTTGAACCACCAACTTTTGGTGAGTGCTTAGCCATTGCACCACTATTGTAGAAAGTGCCATTGAGTTGACTACTCATAGTGACCCTGTCCACCATCCAGGGCCATCCTCACAATCTCTGCCACGTCCCAGCCCATTGCTCCAGTCACTTTATCAGTCCATCTTCTTGAGGGTCTTCTTTGCTTTCTCTCACTGCCCCCCCCCCCACATACACACCTTTCCCCTTGATGTCTTTTCTCAAGGAGTGGTCCTTCCTGCTGGCCACATGCACAAAGTGAGACAGTTTCACAGTCCTTGTCTCTTAGAAGCACTCTAGTCGCACTTCCTTCAAGACAGACCTGTTTCTTTTGGCAGTCTGTGGGATTTTCCATTTTCTTCTTCAGTACTACAAGTCATTACTGTTGTTGTCAGGTGCCACTGAGTGCAAGTCACAGCGATCCTATAAACAACCGATCTTAACCCTGTCCTATCTTGTGCCCTCCTAGACTGTATCAACTCAAGTTATCACCAGCCTGTCTTTTAGTATGTCATGAGTTACAGAATCATAGAGGTTGACACATAATATCTGAGGTCCCTTTGTTAGAACTGAAGAATTCTCCCTCTAGAACTCTTTTGTTTTCAATTATGATTTGAGTTAACCTAATGTTTTCAATTTGTTTCCCCTTCCAGCGTTTTATCATGATCTTAACCGAACATCTAGTTCGCTGTGAAACAGATGGGACCAATATATTAACTCCATGGTACAAGAACTGTATAGAGAGGCTTCAGCAGATATTCTTACAGGTTTGTGGAAAAGTCTGATTAAATAGTAAATACTGCTCTTCTCGATCATAGGTCTCCCATTACAAAAATCATTGTCTCATGTGATGAGATTGTATGCAGTGGCTGTCGCGGTACTTGTTCATGATGGTGGTTAGATTTCAGCTGGATCTTTATCACTGAGTTTTCCAGTTGCCATTTTCTAAGCTGGAGAACCTGTAATATAAAATGTATCTAATATAAAACAAAAAAATGGTTAAGGGATAATTAATTAGATTTATAAAGATCCTTAAAACCTAATGTTCAGATCGTAAACATTGCCAGCATAACATGATAAATTCTTTTAGTCTTTATTCAAAACTTTCTTACATTTTAATAGTTTTAACCTTAATCAAAGCAGTTTGCTATTCTGATTTGTAAAATAGACCACTTTTCTTGGCATTTTTTATCTTCCCCCAGTGGAAGGTCAGCTACGAGTAGATTCTGACTGAGAGGCTCACCTGCAATGAGAGAATGTAACTGAATGTCCCACTTCCTCCTCGTAGTTCTCCTGTTTCTCCTTCTCTTTTGTTCCTTCCTGCCTTCTGAGCTTTATCCCTAAGCAAGTGCTGTCCTTTGGAGCTCACATAGCTAATTAGTTCAAGGACTGTGTGCTCTTCTCCTTATAAGTCTCTTGTCTGGCTGAAAGTTGGGGAGTGGGGTGCGCGGGGGAGTGGTGGTGGTGATTATGTTCCAATCAGCCAATAGTGATGGTGAATAAGGGCCATAGCCTTGGGGGCTCTACTAGTTTCTATTGGACCAGTAAGCCTAAACAGTTAATGGGTTTTAGTTTTATTCCAGTGTTCCCTTAAACTATCCAGGACCTGCTTCTGTGTTCCCTTTCTCAGTGACCAGTGGTCGCTGAGTACCATCTAATTGTCAGGGTTCAAGTCTTAAAGGTTGAGATTCTCATAGTTCATTACTCCTTTGGACTAATGATATCAATGGATTCTTGTTTTTCTTCCCTCTTCGATCTTCCACACAGGGAGAGATCAAGCATTGCATCTTCAATATGGCTACTTGGAAGCTTTTTTAGACCCCATTCATTGGTTAGTCACCAAAGTAGAATGTAGAGCACTGTTCTGTGCACTCTGTTATGCTAGTTGACCTAATGACCCCCAAGACTATGATTCTAAGCCCTACAGCCAGCAGCTTATTCCCTCAGAGTGGTGGGGTCTGATTAAAGACATTTATGCCACTTTGTCTCTCTTCTCTTTTTATAGCATAAACATATACATACAGAAATCTCATCTGCCAAAACTGTGTCACGGATGTAACCCCTTTCACCTACTCTTTTGGTCTTGCCTTTCTGTGTGTATATATAGATCTTGGACTGAGGTTGGTTGGTTTTTTCCTACTGACAGGAATGTTCTGCAAAAATTGGTCCTCAGTTTCCTGAACTAAACAGCCCTTTTTTGTGTCCACAGCATCACCAAATAATCCAGCAGTACATGGTGACCCTGGAGAACCTCCTCTTCACGGCTGAACTAGACCCTCATATCCTGGCCGTCTTCCAGCAGTTCTGTGCCCTGCAGGCCTAAGGGTCATTTTCTCCCTTCTGTCAAGATTTTTTAAAAAAATACCTTGAAATAATTTGTCTTTTATTTTTGTGGTTTGGATGCTTCTATAGTCTCCTTTCACTTATTAAAACAAAGGGGAGAACAGTGAGGAACATGAAATTACATTATAATTGTGCCTAAAAAACAAATGACGGCAGTGTGTCAGTGACCATGGCTGTCTTCTAAGTAACTGATACAATTCTTCTGTGATTAATTCAGCTTTTCTCTCCTTAAGACAGTTTTAAAAATTATGTGAAAAGCTAGAGGTCAAGTTTACACAGTCGTATAAAGAATTGATGGATTTATTACCAAATAGCATATCTTTTTACAGCTACTGGGTAACCTGACATGGCTGAAGAAAATTAAAAATATTTTTAAACTTTATCAGTTCATGGTTTCTCACCTCAGTCTCCTTTAAAATTGGTAATTTATTACTTAGCACCACTTGACATTTTCTCTTCATATTTTTAAGTGGTCTCATAGACTTTGTTACTACCTAAGTCTTCCCAGATCTGAGTGTTAGAATTACTTGGGAATTTCTAAAAACTATTTTAAAAATTAAACTATAATCTCTGGGAATGGAACTGAGCTTCTTTTCTTACTGCTCCCTAGGTGAGTCCACTGTACACCAAGCCATTCCCCTGTCTCAGAGGGTCTTAGACTGAGTAACAGGTTAAAGTGGAACTAGATATAGCCAGAATACTTGGAAACAGCTGTGGCTTTGAATTTTGTGGCTGTGAAATCTGGGCTAAGTCCATCTGGTTAATTAATTAATTCCATCTGGTTTTGAAGCTTAAGATAATAGGAGAGTGTTTTATAAAATACAAAGATAAGGGATTATTTAACATTCCAAATTTCTAGATTTCTTTTATTAAGCCTTAAAGAAACTGTACCATTATTATTACAACTACTAGTAGTGTTTTTGGCTTTTATTTAATATAACCTTATGATACATCGCAATTTTCATATATGGTCTTTTAACATACCTTCAGTTGGCTACAGAATACAGGTCACTCAGTTAGGTGGTGGTCCTATGATTTCTAAGTACCATTTTATTTAAGATAAACAGACAAGGTCAAAGTTGCATTACTAGTAAAAACACAACTGAAATCTGCTTTCTTAGCTAAATGTTGTTCTGGCTTTTCTCTTTCCCATAACTTAACAGCACAGACTATATGGTTAGTGAGAAATAGCTACTGTCCTCTCAGAACCGAAGGACAGTCCTTTAAGGCACTGGTGACTTTTGAGTCTAACCTGCTTTATAATCCTTTCACAATGTATTGCAAAGTTTGTCTACTTATATTTGACCCAAATTCTAGGATTAGTAGGTTTTCCTTTCCTTGTGTTCTCTCGAATGTATAATGGTTATTTCTGACAACTGTTCACTGGTGTGCCCTTCTTGTGCCCCAGTCTGAACCTGTAACTGAAATCAGAATTGAATTTTGAAGAAATAAAAATATAAGAGAAAGCAAACATCCAGCAGTTACTTTCCCTAATAATGAAATAACACAAAAGAATGTACATGTCATACCTTGCAGTAGTAAATCAGTTCCATGTACAATGCCATTTAATATGCTTTTCATGAAGTTAGCATATATTTTTTTCTTGATTTCATAAATATCCTCTGGGAATTATTCATAGCAATGGCTCACATAAAAATCCCCCCTCCCCCCCCCCCCGCCATGGAAAAGGAAGCACTTAGTGGGGATTTCTATAATGTACTGTAATTAAATCTGGAAATGACTTTGCCAGTCTGTGTAAAGCAAAATGAGCTATAGGCAGTAACTGGATAACAGAGTAAAGTCTAAATGGATGAAGGTAAAGCACAGATAGAGACATACCTCAACCTAGACAATGTGGTAAAGGCTAACATGTCCTTCAAGTATGTACTCTTAACTAGTAGCTGTCATGTGCTGTGTGCTATAAAACTACCATATTTAATCCTAACTGTAAGCCTTCCTACTTCACAAAAACAGGTCCCTCAAGTATTTTTGCCCTTTTTCCAACGTGCACAGCTAGGAAATGGGATTTGAACCTAGTCCATGGCTCAAGAGTTTATCCCTCCACAGGACAGTAATGGATTTGTCAGCTCAAACCTCTGGCTAATCCATCATACACTGGAAGCCTTGTTTTTCTAATCTCAGGGAAGTTTCACTTCTTCTCAATCAGCACTTGAAAAATACATTAAACATTTCTGAATTGAGTACTTAATAATTATAATCTCAACCCTAACTGTTCTCAATTACTTTTACTTTGGCCTTTCTCCAAAAATCTCCAACAGCAGATCAAAATATAAAAATGTAATAAACATCCTACTTCTATCGGTAGTAGTAGGATAAAAGTTGTATTAAAATACATCTTGAAAATGCCTGGTTTATCTTAACCTGAATTTTTGTCAAAAAATTGAAAATGGATAAGCACCAGAGTCAAAGCACATAGGGTCAAATCCTATTTATTGTAACTGCTTTATAATTTTTTTCCTAAGAGACATTGAGAAATTTGGTCTGCTGAACTTCAGCCAGCTGCCTGACAGGATGGGAGATGTCCTCTCTCCCTTCTTATCCAACACACTACCACAGCTTCTGATTCACTGTCATCCTTCACTGTGTTTTCAAGGCTGTGACTATTTATGGGAGGAGAGTAATTATTTTTCTCCTATGGAGCAACTGGTAGACTTGCCTGACCATCACACATGGCCACCGGGCTTCCTTACTTGAGCCACTTAGGGACCTCTAGATGCCTACAAGCGGTAAAAGCTTTAAAATAAAGGTCTTCCTCCTATCATAGCAGTCTAGTGTGCATTGCTCTCTGACTTCTTCAATTCATAGTTCTATCTTTTGAACCTCTTCTACCACTGAACTTCTCTCCCAGTATAGAAACATCAAGCACAGAAAGGATTCCGCCCACTACCAAATTCTCTTGGCCTTAGTAAAAACTTCTTAAGACTTCACATGCATACATACATATTGCAGAGTCAGTAAATACACAGTATTTCATCTATACAGACATTTCATATGTGGGCAAATTTTGAATAGAACCTGAAATTATTTTTTAGTTCATACTCCCTAGGTCCAACCTAAGTTTCCTTTATTTACATATAAAATACTGTAAAATAGATCACTGAATTAAAATCACATTTTTTCGTAAGTCAGCTCATGGCCGCACACAGTACAAGTCTTCCGGTACATGTCCTCTTCTAGGTTTTCTTCCGGTCCATACTCATGTTGATGTGCAACTGTTTCCTTTTTCCACACACTGCTTCTTACTGCCCGTCGCAATTCTAAGAGAAAAAGAAAAGTCCTTTTCAGTTGTATTAAGCTGACCCTCAAATCCATCACACTTTCAGTTACATAAAACGATAAAAACGTGGCGAGCTTGCTTTCCAACATCACTGCACAGCCTGTGAAATCATTCAGGTCATTGCTGAGATGGTGTGAAACAGCTTCAGAATAGGGTGGAAGGGGTAGCAACAGAAGTGAGAGGAGATAGTGACTACACGGGGCCTTCAGACACTGGGTGACAGAAAACAGCAGGAAAGGAGCATTTAAAAATTCTATGTCTGTAAACCAAGAGCTGTTTTTATTCTAGGTATTCTTGCTTGAAAGTGGGGGAAGCCAAGAACTCTGGCACTAGGCTAGTGTTTTAGATTGGCGGGGGTTGGGGGGGTGTTGTTCATGCGCTTGACCTTAGGGCTCTTGCATATTAGCACCATTGCTAATAATAATTGCAGAGCATTAGCCTTAAAAACAAAAATCATAGAATGTAGTAAGTCAAATTTTAAAAGTTCATAATTGTGTTTGTTGTGTACCATCGAGTTGGAACTGACTCATAGCTGAGCTGAAATGGCCTGTCCCTTTACTTTTCAGAGACAGCACAAGTTGCATTATTACCCAAGAAAACAAATGCTTAATTGAAAATTAACAAGTAGATTACTTCTCAGTTTCTAGTTTAATGAGAAAAAAAATACTAATTATTTCTATCCTGACCAATGACCCATCCAGCCCAACACTCAAAGGTGTCAACTTGCCACAAGGAGAGTATGCTAGCTCTCTTATAATCTCTGAATCATAAGAAAATGTACATTAAATAATCATATATTTTCTTTAATCCAGTTTATATCTGTAATCTTTGTCAATCTCAGTATCTGCAGCTTGATATTTTCAACCTTTCTTAACATTGTAAGAACAAACAGTGCTATGTATCGGGCACTGTTCTAAATTAAAATTCACTTAATCCTGAGAGAGAAGTATTTTATGGAGGAGAAAACCAAGGTACACAGGAGTTATAAATTGCCCTGGTGCAAGTATTTTGTTGAAGGCAGAGGCATAGATTCCTTAAACACTACTATTTTCACACCTCCAGTATGAAAAGCATTTTATACTTAGTGTCACTGTTTGAAACATGAGGAGGGAAATCATTCACCCAAACGAATCAATTCTCGTTCTCTTCTCATACACTGAAGATCTCTGGTTTTGTAAACCCCTGAAATGGCCTGTCCCTTTATTTTACTTTACCCTGGAACACTTTCTAAATAAAAGATAAATATTTGACCAGATAGTGTGGATGACTCATGGTTGTTTTCCAGTACCCATCTGACTCCCAGCCTCCTGAAGGTTTCCTGGCTACTATTCTGCCTCACTGAGAAAATTCCTCCAAATCTGATTGCTGCTCACTCACTAACAAGCTGTCTATCTGCCTAATTTGTGCATTTAGTGCCCTAAACAAGAAAGGTAAGGAAGAAACATTTTCTTAACACTGAAAGACTAAACCTGTTGCCACCAAGGCAATTCTGAGTCATTTACTCAGAGAAGTCTTGCAATAACTGATCATAACTGAACATAAAACTTTTAACAATAATTACATAACTGCACCAAAGGAGGTTGAGTGGTGGTATGAAGATGCATGTTACCCACGCTACAGTGTTTTTAGTTGCCTCAAAAGCAGGCAAAAGCCAGACACTAAGGAAGACGCAAGAACTGATGCTTTTCAATTATGATAGTGGTAAAAATACGGCATACACATTGGTCTGCCAGACGAGGGAGTAAGTCTTGTCTTAAAGAACTACAACCACAATGTTCCTTAGAAACTCGGTGGTGAGACTTCATCTCACGCTTTGGACATGTTATCGGAAGGGACCAGTCCCTGGAGAAGGGCACGCTTGGAAAAGAGAGTCAACAAAATAAGCCTTCAATGAGGTGGACTGGCCGATGCTGCAAAAATGGGCTAAAACAGTAGCAACGATGAGCACGGTGCAGGACTAAGCTTAGTTTCAGTCGCTCAAAGAATCACTATGTCAAAACCAACTTAAGGGTTGAGACCAGGTTTCTTACTGACAGAAGCAGAAGTTACAAATAGGAAAAAAGAAATAAACTGAACCTTGACGTTTTTAGGACTCAAGATTTTTTTTTATTACATGATTTTGCTACTGACAGGGAGTACAAGTCCTTGTTTCACTGAAAACTTCATTTTCATAGTCCAGAGTTTCACTGTGAACCCAGAGGCAGCATGTTGTGATGGTTCAAATCCACCAGCCGCTCCTCCCAGGCAATGTACAGACTCTAAAACCCCTGTGGAGAGGCAGCTAGGAGCTGAATAAAATGATCTTTTTATAACATAGCATGTTTATTTTAATACATTAATTTTGCAAAAGGGACCACCTGTAGTCAAGCCTAATGCTACTCTTTTTCTTTTCCTAAAGTTTTATTACAGCATATTCTTCCCATTTAATTTTTCTCGTTCATTCATTGTTGTACATTTTCCTCCCTGCCCACCCCTTGCCCCCAGTTTTCTCTTTGAAAAGAAAAAAATTCTTTCATTGTTACACAATCCCCCACGCCCCCAAGTCCACAGTCCACTTTACTATGCGCCTAATGCTACTTTTAAGAGAAATACTTTCAAGAACTGTCAAGAGACTCAACTCATTGCTGTGAGGTGGGAACTGACAGCTGACCTTCCAACAGTAAAAATCGCCTGGGAGAAGGCTGGCCATCTTCCACCCACCGAGCCGCTGGTGGCTGTGGACTGCCTGAGAGGCATGCTGCCTTTGGGTTAGTGGTGCAAATCCCTATGGACTAGGCCACCAGAGCTCACCTGTCCAAGACTAGCACTGGGAAGTATTAACTTTAAAAATATGATAGTAACATCAATCTGCATGTTTTATTTTCTGCTCCACAAATTGACAGTCATTAAAAATGCTCCCAAACTCTCCTGAAATAAGCCCCAAAATAGAAACATTAACCACACTTCCTAGATGTAAGGTGTCTACCTTCAAAGAAGACAAAGATGAGACATTTTTTTCCCATCTCCTCCCCCGGTCCCTCTTTTGTGAGAATGACTGCTTTTAAGAATATAAATCCTAGCTTTAAGGAAAGGCCGTATCTCCAACTTGTTTTAAGAGATGGGGCTTGTAAAGCCATAATGTTCTGTGTATTTGCACCAACTTAAAGTTCACATCCAATACCAAAATCAAAGCTACTGCATTTTTAATTTTTTTTTTATGCCATTCAACTGAGAGCAGTGGTCGTGCCATCATTACTATTTCTGCCTTCTTGGATCAAAGAGATCTCTGATAGCTTAAAATCACTGACAAGAAAATTCTTTTCTCTTGCACTTTGTCTACTTATATATCTTATACTATTTATATTTCAGTTTTTAGTAACATATCATAACCTAAAAGCAGATAAATTAATCTCTTACCTTTCCATAAAGAGGTAAGCTTTGTGTCTGCTTCTTTGTGGATCAAAATCAGACCAAGAGGAACCAGGTTCCATGATCTTTCAAATAATACTTTTAGTCTTGCTTTTATTCCTCTCTGTTCTGAGCAAGCTGCACAGTAAAGTCCTTGTTTCTAATGTCTACAGTGTCTACTCCACTCTCAGCCCTTTGTGGCCTAGTCAGGAGGACAGGAACATATCCACCAACCTCTAAATTAAATCAACAAGAAGCCATAATTAAAGAAAGCACCACATCGACTTCTCTGCACATCAAACGCTGGAAGAAAATGGAGTAATGTGTACAGAACTGAGAGAACTCAAGATTTCATATGCAAAAGCAACAGGCAAACATTGTTAGATATGCAAGGAAAATATCCCAGAGACAAAGACGGTGTAGGATAGACCAGGCCTCGGTCTGTTGTTCACAGGGTCACTATGAGTCATACTCAACAGCATGGAACAGCAACAACTACTTGGAAACATTCCCTTAAAAGACATGCTGCATTAAAATAAGAACTGAAATAAAGAGGCCAGTCTAGAGACAACAGGGCAAATTCAAACTCTTCAAAGATAAGGAAAATTTACAGTTTATATGGTGATTAAATATAGCCGTTTAATATTGTGAGAAAAACAGACAACCAAAATTTGTAATTAAAAAAACTCGAGGATTGTGTAAATCTTAAAAAAATATGTTCATACTAATATTTAACAAATATGCTGCCTTAATGGAATTTTTATGGTCAAATAATAATGAAATATATCATAATCTTTTAGTTTCTTAGTTTGCAATTATAAATTTTTAGTACTTTATGCCTTTACCAACATATTATCTACACTAAAATATTATAGAAAACGGATTTAAGGAAGCAGCGAGAAGGGAAAAGATGAAGTGATTCCAGTAGCTAGGATTAGTAAAAACCTCGGGCTTACATATGGCCTAGTGATAAGGAGCTGTGCTGCCAACTCAAAGGCAAATGGTTCAAATCTACCAGTTGCTCCGTGGAAGAAAGATGGGCAATCTCCTCCTGTGTGAGTTACTGCCTCTGAAAAGATCCCTGGAGGGTCTGCTATGGATTGGTCCCAACTTGAGAATACATAACAACAAGAGATAAATATATTATCCATTTCCCCATTTCATTTTTATTACTTTCAAGGTCCCCCTTGAGACTGGGAGAAAGGAAGGCCTAAAAGATTCAAGAAAGGGGCAAAATTCAAGTGAGGTTTTCCCAAATCCTCTACTTTGGTCCTCACTGACATCTTTGTAAACAGCAGTGGCTAAATCTGGAAAGATTCTTGCATGAAATATTCTTACATAACAAAGCAACCTCTGTACAAAAACTTAGAAGTGTGCATAACCATGGATTCAGAAACAGCTAAATCAATTACCTACAAAGACACATATGAGGGTGTTTATCATGGGCTGTCCTGAGAAGCAGTTTGAAAGCACCATGTGCTCTTGGGAGGAAGATGTCACATTGTGCTTGTGTAAAGTCTATGGGGTCCTTCTATTCTGCCTACGTGGCTGCTATGAATTAGCATTAACGCAATGGCAGTAGGTTATCCAAAAGAAACAGGTGGAAGACAAGACATTTAAATGTTAATAAATAGTTGTCTCTGGGTAAAATCATGGAGTAGAAGCTTTGTTGCCGTATTTTTTAATCAGGCAAGGTCTCAATGTGTTATACACAGGATTGATGTGTGTCAGAATCAACTTGCTGGCACTTAACATTTGTACTCATTCTTGGATTAAAGGGGGGGAGGATGAGGATGTGCAGGGGGAGGGAGGATTAATCATGGTGGTGTACAATCTGATGGGGGGTGAGGGAAATTGAAAGAATCTGTTCTTAAAAACAATGTATTCAAATTTTGCAAATAAACAAATTTAAAAAAGAAAAAAGGGAGGGGAGGAATAAATCCCTTCACAGAGAGGCTTATATTCAGAATTTTATTTTCTTTTTTAAGACATATGACATTTCATTCATCTTCCAAGAAACTTCTAATCATAAGCAAAATTAGCATAGTTGGACATTCATGTTAAATGGACCAATTTTATATATACTTATGTTCTGCATACACTGCAACTGGAACTCTATATAATTAATGTATGAAGAATACTTATGCCACTTTTTTTAAGGTTCACTTTAAGGCTTCACGATAGAGCACAAAGTATCCTCCGCACTCCTATAGTGCCCCATGTTCATCACTACCTTAGAATTTAACACACTGTTAGGATTTTAAATTGGCTTGTCTTTCTCTCCTGACAAACCACGACAGTATTTCTATTAGCCTGATTGCCAGCATTCAGTAAATATTGGATGGAAAGATGTGCAGACTGACTTAAAGATACATGGACAAAGGTTAGATCTTGTAGCTGTGTGCCCACAAATTAGGACCCTTCAGAGGGCTGTCAGAGGCTATACACCTCATGTAAGGAGACTGTCCATCTTTCTCCCCTGAGCAGCTGGTGAATTCAAAACCCCTGCCTGTGGGTTGGCAGTGCAGCTCCTCACCCACAAAGGCCACCAGAGCTCCCTCAATGTTAGAGGACTAAGATTTTTTTAAAAATAACATCAAGCAGAGATGTGCTAGTGAGTATCCTGACGTTCTGTAAAACTATCGGTCATATTAAAGGTTTCATCTGTGTCAAATCTTTGACTAGGAATACCTGATGCTAATGTTGTCCTTATGTGAAAATATGACTCACTTAAAGAGAATGGCTTTACATGCCTTCTAGAAATGCAGTGCTCTGAGGTCTGCACGGAGCCTCAATCACCAACCTACTTGACGGCAAATTTAATTTTCGCCCCCTCCCTAATTTGAGAAAACACATCTCAATCTGATTGTCCAAAAGGAGGAACTCAGCCAAAGGCTTTTTACAATGAGGCCAAACGGTCTCTGGTGGGATAAAATGTGTAGTCACTTACCTTTTACTTTTTTATCAAACTTCTTCTGTTTCATTTTCTCCCGGTTTTCTTGTCGAACTTCCTTTGCTTCTTCTAATGCTTCCTGACTACCCCAAACTTCAAGAGACCTCTTCACGATCTATAACCCAGAATCCACATTTAAATTTAAAATTTAAATCCACACTGTTATTCAAAGTAAGAAAAATACACAACTCTCTCATTTTTCGTTAGAATTGACACATAGCCGACCCTTCAGGTTTTCAGAGGCTGTAAATCATGTGAGAGCAGACTGCTTAGTTTTCTCCGAAAGAGCAGCTAGTAGATTCGAACCACCTGCCTTTGGGGTGACAGCACAACTCCATCCCCACTAAGCTAGCTGCAAAATAATGATCTAACCTGTATATATCTTAAATTTAAAAGATTTAAAATATTAATAAAAATAATTCTAATATAACATTGGAGGCTAGGATTTTGAAGCTCCATCTCACATACTTTGTGCATATGGCCAGGATAGACCAATCCTTGGAGACGGACACCATGCTCAGAAGAGTGGAGGGACAGCGCAGGAGAGGAAGACCCCGGAGAAGATGGATCGATATAATAACTGGGGCAATGGGGGCTGGTGTGTTGGAATTAGTGAGACTGGCTCAGGACAGCGAAGGGTTCAGATCTTCTGTATTCAAAGGCAAATAACAACAAATTATATTGGTTGTGTGTGGTTTTTTTTTGTTTGTTTGTTGTTTTTTTAATTTAAGCCTTTTGTTTAAAATTCAACAAGACCTTGAGGAGGGTCTTTGTATTTAAAAGTTGGTTGTTATTATATTTTGGAGGAACATTCTTCTAAGTGGTACAGCACTCTTCTGTCAATTTGCTGTACTGAAGTAACCTGGGGTTGCTGTGATGCTGAACCTTGTGCCACTAGGGTATCAAATGCCGTAACGGTGACCCATGGTGGACCTCCCAGTTTAAGACCTGGAAACAGGAGTGGCATCTACTTCCTAAACAACATGCCTCTGGAAACTATGAACTTTGATAAATGATGATAGTTATAGAAAGACTTCAGGTCTTTTGTTCACAGGGTCGCTATCAGTTGTGCTCATCTCGATGGCAATCAACAACAGCAACAACAATACAACATAAGTGTCCATTAAGAAAAAAACCTAATAGCATCTGTCTAAACCTAAGAAGTTATAATAAATATGTACTGAATTAGATCAGAAATTGAGAAGTTGTTTTATTATTGACTGTATTATTTGATGTATTAGAAGATAGAGGATTTACTACTACCTTCTAATCAAACTGTGCTCTAGAGCAATACCTCTCGATCTTTTAAATATATGGCACAAAAAAATTATTAGTACCATTCTCTGGGGTAGACACTGAGCCCTCCAGCAATCCACACACTAAGCAGATAGTGAGCTTGGCACACTTGTAACCAATGTGCAGCAAGTGGCAGAGAATTTCTGCTCTGAGTGATAGATGGACATGGGAAAGGGTTCCAGATGAATGGTTTCCAAGAGGAGTTAGTATAAGTATCTGAAATCTTTTTCCCTCACAATGTTTTTTTGTAACACAAATGGAGTTCATTACATTGAGTGAATGTAAGAGATTTTAGAATGTGTAAAATGTTCTCTCTAATTAGGCCCCAGTGAGTCATTGTATAACCATGATCCTGTATAATCATGGTTCTTCAAGTAACTTTTCTGTTATTATCTATCTCTTAGAACTTGGCCTTTCCCAATGCATATTGGGAAATATAACTGTTGTGGAAATGAAGAAAGCAACAGGCCATGGAAGATACCAAAAAAATAATAGTGTTCTGCCTTGTAAAAAAAAAAAAGGTTTTCTGTAGGAGAACAGGATCTAATGTTTATTCCTGACTTTTTCACTTTCTAGACCATACTCCTAGTATCTCCCAATAGTATTTTATTTGTTCCAAAGTGCTATACTAAGAGTAAAATTAAAAATCTCATCATATATGATTGTGACTCATAAAAAAAAAGAAAAATATTTTTCTATAGCAAAACTGAATTAGTTCAAAAGTGAATTAACTCACTTTTTTAACTAATCAGGTTACTTAAACTTCACCTGATCCAGAGTTTGAAATGAATGAATATAATTTATTAGCAACCTGTAATTTTAAGTAGAGTTTCATATCACCCCACTGTGAATGATGAGGATTCTTCTTCACAATAAATTTAAGGGCTGGTTCTCGCTTTTCTAAATCACAGTCTTTCAGAAGGTATTCCTGCTTCGCTTCTGTTTTGGTTATTAGCTTGTGCTTATCATCAGCATCTCTGAAAATAGATTCATAAGATCAGGTATAAATTCTTTTTTTCACTAAACTATATAGTCTTCAAACCTAGAAACATATTTGTACCAAAAAGGGAATATATTTTCCCTTACAACTCTAATGATCAAATTAACAGCATAAAAATTTTAGCATTAAAAAACTCTATCTTTTACTCATTCTGAGAAGCTGCTACTAGTAGCATCTACAAATCATTTAACAATTTAAGAGTTTCTTTTATAGCTATTTAAAGTCCCTCATTGGCCATAAAGGCTTGGAAACGAGTGTGAGAGTAGAAGAAATAGAAGAGCAAAGACTCAACAAGAAAGAAAATATAAGTCTTCTTTCTAAAGTCAAGATGGGCAGGAAATAAAGAATAAAAATCCAAGATCCAACCACCTAACATGTTAGTTGACGCTGAGCTTTCACAAAACCAAAATAAAAATGGAGACATCGTACTTAAAAAGAGTTCCCCTTCAGTTCTTTTCCATCTCTGTGCTAAGTCTGAGGAAGTGAAAACACAGCAGAGAATGCAAAGCCTGGATCTTGTGAAGTTTACATTTTAGTTCAGAGAAGACAGTCAACAAATGCGGACAGATAAATGGCTATAAAGAACTATTAAAAAAAACAAAAACAAAACACAACTATAAACCACTATCAAGGCAGGAATTTCCAGAAAAGGCCATGATAATGTAATAGTTGGGCAGAGGCTTAAGAAGACATAGAGCATTCTGGAGAGCTGGAGAACAGCAGGAGTGCAGGGAACAGCAAGGCAGCAGAGTGCTTCCAAGTGAAGCTCACAGCAAGTAGATGGTGCCACTACAACACTTCAAATAGGGCTGTAGAGCTCAAGCCAGGCAGGCAATGGCAATGGTAGAGACTGTTTTGTTTTATATGGAGAAAAGACAAAGTGTGCCAAATTAGGCACCTAGAGATTAGTAATAACATTTCTGCAGTGACCAAGGCAAGCAGGACAGAGGAGGAGAAAGAGATTCAGGAGGTAGTTTGAGCATCAAACGGGCTTGAGATGAAATGTGGAGAAGTAAAGAAACAGTCACTGAATGAAGTTGATCTCTACTGAAAGGGCGAATACTGAAAAAAGAGGTGTAAGTCTAAACCAAAGCATCAGGCTCACACTGTCAAGTGAATTCTGACTCACAGGGACCCTCTAAGACAGAGCAGAATGTCCTCAGGATTTCATGCCTGAAAATCTTTACAGAAGCACACTGACCTCTTTCTCCTGCAGAGCAGGTGGTGAATTTGAATTTTCAACCTTTATTGTTAGTTTAGTCCACTGTGACACCAAGACTACCTCATGGTGTAAGTCAGGAGGGGCAAAAATCAAAGATTCGAACAGAAGATTCTATCGCAAAACCATAGTGTTTAAAGTTGGGAAAAATCAATGCTGGACTTGGTTGAGGTAAACAGGAGAAACATGAGAACTATGTGGCATAAGGATTAGCGGAGTGACACAGTAACTAGAAAAGAAAGAAGACAAAGGTACTCCCTTCACTGCCTATCCTCAGAAGCAAAAGTCAAGTAGGCTGAGGGGAAAGAAGTGGGCTGGGAGGACCAATAGAGTGGCTGAAGGGATTTCTTGTCCCTTTTCTCTCCCTGAAGGCCCTAATCTTTTGACCAAAGTGTCAACGAACACTGAAGTTAAAAATGAGGAGTCTTAGGATGAGGGGAGGGGTTAGAAACTTGTTACTGAGAGACAATAAACTGCACAGATCTGAAAAAATGGTTATTCTTTTAAGTTTCTATACTCTTTAAGTTATTCCTATAAGATTCTATTTCAAGACCACTGACATCTTTTCTTTACAGGATGTAAGTCTGACAAGCATAGGTTCCTATATTTCTTTCTCTAAATGGAAACCACAAAAATTTGAGGAAACATCTCAACACAGAAATCATAAATACCAAGGACACAGTAAACCCAAAAGGATCTATTCTTTTGCTTTAAACATATATTTAATCACTCAGCATTTCCAATTAAGAACATTATAAAGAAGTAAATACCTGCAGTTATCACAAGTTGACAAGTCAAAGTGGTTCATTAGGTAAGAATCCATGAATTCTTTCCCACATTCTTCACATATTGTATAATCAAATTCCATAACAGGTGCTAAAAAAAGAAAATTAATTCTTTATGTTCCCTTTTTTTAAATTTAGAATACATTTTATATCCACTCAAGGAAAAGACAAAATACAACACAGATTGATTGATTTATCTTACATTTATCTAAAAAATGCTTTTTAAAGGGAAAAATACAAAATGAACATTGCTTTTATCATTAGGTGTCACATCGACTAAGACTCCTCACAATCTCTCAGACACTCGAGCCGACTGTTAGTCACTGCGACAATCCACCTTGTCGGGGATTTTCCTCTCATTCTCTGACCCTCCACCTTCCCCAAAATGGTGTCTTTTTCCAAGGACTGACCCCTCCTGACCAGATGCCCAGAGTAATTCATGAAATTATTAACTTTACAATATTAATCATGTTCTCATTAATTACTTTGAATGTACCGTTAACTGAAATTATAGGCTTCGTTCTAGGCCAGGGTAGATACTGGAATTTGCAGAATAGTTACCAGCAGTCTTCATTTGCATAGTTATCACAGAGACTTTAGACATCATTTCATTTAGTGCCTTCCTCTCAACAGCAACCTGGGCTCCAAACCCCTCTTTTTCACAGTTCAAGGCAGCATTTCACACAGTTAGGTCTCTTCATTTCTGAGTCACTGATCTCAAATTCTATGGGCAAAGTGCTAAATGTATGTTGTTGTTGTTGACTGCCTTCGAGTCAAGCACGACTCATAGCGACCCTATGAACAAAAGGCCTGTTGTACCAGTCAGATCTGATTTGACGGTACACACACAATAAATAAATAAACACACACACACACACAAAGGCCTGAAGGCCCTTGACTACTATTGACATTTATCAAAGTTCATAGAGTTTCCAGGGGCAAGTTGTTTAGGAAGTAGATGCCACTCCTGCTCCAGTATTATAGAAGGCCAAAATCTCCCTCACTGTACCTCCCATAACTGTCCCAAGTTCTGCTTTTCAAAGCAAAGTTCCCAGAGTGTAATCTCTTCCATTAAGGAGGACTTATTGCATTTCCAGATAAGCAGAAGCTTTATCAAAATTAAAACTAATCAGTTTGGACAATTTCTGATAGGTTAAGTTCAGAACTCCACTCGCCATTCTCTTTTGGCATCAGCTACAGAGTGCTTCACTGCTAACCCAAAGGTGCCCCTCCAGCAGTTCAAATCTACTCGCAGTTCTTCAGGAGAAAGATGGGCAATTTCCTCCATGCAATTTATAGTCTCTGAAACCCACTGGAGGTAGGTTATAATCATAAACACAAAATACAAGTTACTGATTATTTCCATATATACAGGTGTTTCTCTCACTTTTAATCTACTAGCAAATCTGCTGGACTTTATCACTTTTAAAAAACACTGAGTAAGCACAGTTATGTAACATCAGTTTGCAAAGAAGTATGCGTGTTATTCCAAATAACCAATCCCAGATAACCTGTTTCTGAAAAATACACTTTACCTGGTTGATGAACAACTTTTCCAATCTTATGTTCCTCCTCTTCTTCCTCTTCCAAAAGGAAGCCACCTTTCGTATCAATTACCTTGGTTGCTTTTACATTCACCATACCTACAGAAAGTAAAAATTGTCAACCACTGAATCAAGTAAACCCATACATTCCCTTGAGCACAAGCAAGGACTTTCTTTAAATTTATTATATATCAAACAAACAAGGATATTCACTAGCATAACTTGCATTTGATATTACACTGAATAGAACAGCTATTGCAGTTAGACAAGGTGGGGACGGGAGGAGACATAAAGCCTGCAAATACGCTAAATACCTATATTCATCAGTTATACAATTACCTATGTACAACCCCCACAAGAATCTTCAGTTAGAATTAAAAAGGATCAAATACCTAGGAAGAGATGTGTAAAATTTCTACACTAAAAACTACATTTTTTAAAAAAAAATTATGGACAGAAAGGCTCAGTACTATAAAGATATCAACTCCCGAACTTATCCAAAGAGTTTACCTGTAATCCCATTTAGAATTCTGTCACTGAGGTGGTGAAGTGGAGGGTGGGGGTATGTGTTACAAGTGGTTTAAACAGTCACTCGTATGTTTATGATTTTTTTTACAGCAAAAGAATATAAACCAAAAATCAGCAAAGGAGGGAAAGTACATGAGCTAAAGTCCAGGGGAAACTAGGCAAGCTTCTAAGGATCTTCTTTTGATAGAGTGACCTAGGATACGTATCATTCTTCCTCTAACATCACACTGTAACATCTGGGAAGTATTATTGCCTGCCAGCGAAGCTCACTGGAACCTCTGCAGCCAAGGTTTTTTTAACTGTTCACATTAATTACCTGCCAAAAATTATAATCAAGATAGATGAGACAAAAAAAAAAAGATAGATGAGATGTATGGAAAGCACTTTACAGTTAGTTCTACACAAAGACAAAAACCCACAGTTGATTCCAACTCATCATGACCCTCCATCAGGTTTCAAGGCTAAAATCAATCTTCTCTATGAAAAGACACTGCCCAGCTTTTCCTCCACGGTATGGCTGCTGGATTCAAACTGCTCACTTTTATTCAGTCCCCAAGGTGATCTTGCCTTATCACCTTAAAGAAGTTCTCTACAGCAGATTTAGCCAGTGCAATGTATTATTTGATTTCCTGACAGCAGCTTGCCTCCACAGACATGAATTACAGATCCAGGTAAAATTAAATCCTGGACAATTTCAATCCTTTTCTTTTTATCATGAAGTTACTTACTGATCCAGCTGTAAAGATATTTTTCTTTCAACTGAGGTCTAATCCATTCTGAAGGCTGTAGAATTTGGCTAAATGCTTCAAATCTTCATTACTTTCAACAAGTACCACTGTGTCTTCAGCCTACCAGAGGTTGTAAATGAGTCTCCCTTCAATGTTTATGTCATACTCTTCTTCGTATAATCCAGTTTCTCAGGTTATTTGCTCTGCAAAAGTACAGTGAAAAAATATAACCCTGAGACTCTTTTCCTGATTTTAAATGATGGAGTATCCCTTGCTCTGTTCCATGAACTGCCTCTAGGTCTATGCACAAGTCATATATGAACACAATTAAGTTTTCTAGAGGGAATTATCCTTTTTCCCAATGTTATCTATAATTTGCAAAAATATGTGGTTCAAATCCACCAGCTACTCCTTGTGAAGAAGATGAGCAATCTCCTCCTATCCGATTTATTGCCTTGGAAAGCTCACTGAAGGGTCAGCTATGGGCTGGTTCCAACTCATCGGTATGCAACAATCACAACCAACAAACATCTTTCCACAATTCTTTGCTTTCAGCCAATATCCATCTGCCTGCTATCAGCAATGATGTCCCTTGCTTCAAATCTTTTTCCAAATCTGGTTTGAGTTTTTGGCAGTTTTCTGCTGCAACTGTTTTTCAATTATCTTCAGCCAGTTAATTTGTGCATTCCATTAGGTCACTTTTCTTTGGAATAGACACAAGTATGGAGCTTTTATCAGTTGGCCAGACAGCTGTCTTCTCAGAAACATCTAAACTAGTAGTCAATCCTTGGAAGCTTGCTCCTCACCAATCAAAGTGCAGTTTTGACTTCTTCTTTCACCATCATTGGTTGGATGGTAATTAAGACAGGTGAACTATGGAAGGGCTGGAGAACTCTGGTAGTCTAGTGGCAAGAAGCTGCACTGCAATCCTAAAGGCAACCGGTTCAAGGCTACCAGCTGCTCTGCAGGATGGTCAGCTATGGGTTGGTTCTGACTCAGCAGGACACAGTAACAACAACATGGAAGGTCTAGAGTTGACCTTAATGATGAACATGGTGTGAAGCTTCTGACACTTTTTTGTTACTGAAGCATAGCTCAAAAGAAACAAAATAAAGAAACAACTGCAAATATCTGTTAGTAACTGGAATGTGGCATGTACCAAGTACAAATCAAGCAAGACTGGGAGATGTCAAAATTAACTAGAGCACTTGAAGATGGAGATTCTATGCATCACTGAGCTGAATGAACTGGTATTGGCCATCTTTAAACACAGTCATATCCCTGGCCTACTATGCCAGGAAGAACAGACTAAAGACCAGTACTGCAGCATGCATTTATCATCAAAAAGAATATGTCAAGTTCTATCCTGAAATACAGTGCTGTCAGTGAGAAGACAATTTCCATTCACTTACAAGGAAAAACCAGACAATATGACTATTATTCAAATTTATGCATCAACTATTAAAGTCAACAATGAAATTAAGTATTTTAGCTATAATATGAAATTCATCAAATATCTAATCAAGAAATGAAGAAAGATCAGTAGTTGCAAATACTGCCTTGGTGGTGGGAATGACTCCAGGGATCACATGCTAGAACTTTGCAAGACCAATTAATTGTTCATTGCAAGTATCGTTTTTAAAAAGCATAAACAGAAACTGTATACATGGAGCTAGGTGAATGGAATATGCCAGAATTACATTGACTATATTTGCTATCACTTGTTATGCATCAGAGAGTTGGAAATTACTAAGGAGCAGAGAAGGAAAATTGATGCCTTTGAGCTGTGGTGCTGGAGAAGAGTATTGAGGGTACCATGGACTGCTAGGAAAACAAACAGATTCATCCTGGAAAGGGTTAAACCGGGTGGCTCCTTGAAGTTAAGGATTCTGAGGCTCCGTCTAACATACTCTGGACATGTTGTAAGGAGGGACAGGTCCTTGGAGAGGGACATCATGCTTGGGAGGGTGGAGGGATGGCGCAGGAGGGGAAGACCCTCTATGAGGTGGACTGATTCAGTGACTGGGGTAATCGGGATGGGTGTGTCAGAGACAGTGCAATTGGCACAGGACAGAGCAGAGTTTAGGGCTGTTGTACAAAGGGTCGCTATGAGTCGCAAGCGACTTGACGGCACATAACAACAACAACAACATATCAAGGAAAGGGAAAATGGAAAAGTGCAGTACCATTCAGAACAAGACCAGGGGTCAAATGCCTTCCTTGAAGGCAGGGAACTCTCTGCCTTCAAAAAGCTCAGACTCATGTTAGGGGCAAAAAAAATCACATAAGCAGAAATATCTGGCACAAAGCACAGCAGGAGCATGGCACAAAGAATAAAAATAGTACCACGTGTGAAGTCTTGATGAAGAGCTGCATTATTGATGGGGTAGAAAGCATGCGACAGAAAGATAAAAGTTGGGGAAATACGGAGAAGATGGGTGATGTGAAAGTGCCTGGGTTTATCACGGGAGTAATGGAAGGGTTTTAAAGAACAAGAATTGTGTTAGATTGTCATTCAGGGGGAAATGGAAGGCTACTGCAGCAATCAGAGAAAACAGAAAAGAGTGGAACAATTCTAGCTAAGCCAGCAGCCAGAAATATGATATTAACCAAAGGTTGCCCTGGGGTTGGAGAAGCCTGTAGGGAACTGAGCAGGGAGTTGTGCGGCTAACACAAAGACCATACCTCTCTGCAGGTTCAACTATCAACCACTTCCTGGAAGAAAGATGCAGTCTCCTCCCGTGCAATTTACAGCCTCTCTCACACTAGCTGGAGGCGCAGCTATGAATCGCTCTGACTCCACAATGAGAGAGAAGAGACCACCTTGAGAAAGGGGAAAAAATTATGCGAGAGAAAAAATCTACTCCCTTAAGAGTAACAGTCTTTCTTCCAAAGAATGAGACATGAATTTGGCAAAAATGAGGCAGCCATGAAAATATTGAAAACTCAGTATCAGAAGATAGGAATTCTAAATCCTGCTATCCTGATTTTCCTGGACCTTGGGCAATTTCTGGGCCTCAGTCAGCACACTGACATCAATTCCTGCCCTATTTATTTTCCAGGTTAGCTGTAAGGCAATCGGAGAAGAGGATTCTAAAGCCCTCTGAAAGATGTTAAGCACTACAGGTGCCACTTCTTTAGCCAGCTCCAAGAAGGCAGCGTCAAAGGTGGCATTGCTCATCTCCTGTGTACTCATTATTAAACAGATCACATAACTAAAAGCTTTAAACAAGGACCTCCGTCCGGGCTGTACAGAAAAAAAGAACAGAAAGGGAAGGTCCGGGAGAGCTATGGTGTTGACAGGCACTGTCTGGTACCTTCGGGCAACAGCTGTATTCTCAAGCTAAAACTGCGCACACAGAACACAAGTGAAAGCACAGGGCCTTGAGGCAGGAAGTCAGTCTTGCACCGCAAAAGGACTCTGTGGTCAAGTAACATGAACAAGTTCAACTTAACGAATGCCCGCGACAGCCAGATGTGTACGCAAACATGCGGGAAGCTGATGTCACACCTAGGACCCTTAACCTGGCCCAGATCCGCACGAGTCAGTACCGGGACCCGGGAGGTGCGGAGGGAGAAGGGGCTGGCGCCGCCAGGGTGCAAACCTCCAGTAGCCGCAGCCGCCGTCGCCGGGTAGGGCCGGGCAGCCAGCCGCGCTTGGCGAAGCATCAGCGCCCGCTGCCGCTTCCGCTCGATGCTCGCCCGCACCGAGGCAGGCAGCTCCTCCGGTTGCTCTAAAGGCACTGTCTCCTGCGAAGGAACCTCGGATGTTGCCATCTCCGTTGCCATCTCCGACGGCTTCCGACTATGGTCCCTCGGTCACGCACGCGCATTGACGCGACTGAGTGTACGCTCGACGCTACCGCGCCCCTAGCGGCTTTTCCCAGAACTGTATCGGAGACGTAGCGCGCCTGCGCAGCTGGGGAGAGCGGGGTGGGGCGGTGGGAGGAGCCTGAGCACGTGATGGAAGCGGAACACCGGCTCTTTTGTAAACTGTGGTCTCAAGGCCCGCCTCGGAGAGGTAGTGCGCCTGCGCAGCAGAAGAGGGCGGGGCGATGGGAGGAGCTTGAACACAAGATAAAATAAGTGGCACCTGCTCTTCTGCAGCCTGAGGAAAAGCTTGGTGTGTGTGTGGGTCCTCAAAACCTTGTCCGTAGGGAGTTGCACTGCCAAGCAAAAAACGACTTCTCTCTGGCAGTTCAAAAATCGCAGCTTCGCTGGAAAAAGATGAACAGTTTCTTCTCGTGCGAGTCAGAGTCTCTCAAAAGCCGCTGGAGGGTCTGCTATGAGTCCCTCCTGACTTAATGACAATGAGAGAGTTGTTATCACTCAAGTAATAACTTGGCGCGGTGCTTGAGAATAAGGGCTTTAGAATCAGATCCAAGTCCTAACTCTGACAGTGTGGGACATCTGTGTGACCTTGGGTAAGTTAAAGGACTTTTCTGAGTTTAGTTTCGTCAATGAAGATAATTATAAAACCACTTTATGTGTTGCTGGGAAGAGTAGATGTAGTGTTCAACACTTTGCTTAGCACACAGGAAAATTTCAAAAAATGGTCATGATTAGTCCTAGTACTGCCGGTCAGATCTTTCATATTCCTCATATCCAGGTGAAAAAAAGTCAAATTCCACATAACACAAAAGCACAAGCAATGGGGGGCGAAGAAGGAATAGGTACATTGTACTAAACAGCAGTCTAACTAGCAATTAAAAACATTTGTGTGTGTTGTAAAGCGGGACTGACATATGAGTTGAGGGGAAACTAAGAGAGGATAATTAATGTATACTGAACTGAAACAGATGAGGGAGAGAACTGTTTAGGAGGAATATATGTCTAGGCATTATTGTCATGACAAGAGTCCAGAAAGAAAGCTGCATAGTGGAGTGGACTGAGGGGAGGATTGTGTAACAATGAAAGAAGATTTTTTTTTTTTACTTTTCAAAGGGAAAAGCAAACTGGGGGAGGGGTGGGCAGGGAGGAAAGTGTGCAACAATGAATGAATGGAAATCCAAAGTTTCTGTAAACTTTTATTAAAATTTTAAAAATTCTAAAAAAAGGGAAAGACATCACATTTGTGTGTCAAAGTATTCTAGCAAGAAAAGAGAGGAAAACAAAATAACATATCATTACACAGTCTAATAGTACCCAGAATAAAGAATAAAGAACCCTACAACTCAAAAACAAAAACAGCTCAAATTTTAAAAAGGATTTGAATCGACATTTCTACAGAAGCCACAGTGAGATGCTATTGACGAAAACTGAACATAACAAGTTCTCCTTAGGATTTCTAGAAAATTGGAACTGGTGTTTACATATGGCCTGTAGGGATGTAAAATGGAGCAGTTGTTTTGGAAAACAGATTTGATTATGTTTCAGTAAGTTAAGCATGGAGTGATCATGTGACTGAACAATTGCACTCCTGGTGTACACACTCAAAAGAGAGGGAAACAAGTGTTCACAAAGGCCAAAGGGTGGAAACAACCAAGAGTTTAATCACTTGAAAAATTGACTAACAATATATGGTATAGTCCTAAGTGGAATATTATTTAGCCACAAAAAATAAATGCATTACTGATAAACATTACAATATGGATAAACCTTAAAAGTTAAACAAAAGAGGCAGGACAGAGAAGACAACATTTACATGAAACGTATACAATAGGCATCTATATTGGCAGCCCACTGCTTGTCAGTCAATATGTTAGAATGTTGGGGCTTGTGTGATGTTGGAAACTATGCCCCTGGGTGGTTGTGTGGGGTGGTTTTTTTTTCATTTTTTTAAAAAAAAATTTTTTCCTTTTAATTGTGATTTTAACAAAAGTTTACAGAAAAGTTGAATTTTCATTCATTCATTGTTGCACATTTTCCTCCCTCACCCACCTTCCCCATTTTCCAGAAAAACTATCATATATTCACACGATGGAATACTATGAAGCACTGAAAAGCAATGAACTCATAAAACATGCAACATGAGTGACCTGGAGGACATTATACTCAATGAAATATCCCAGTCACAAAAGGACAAATACTGCGTAACACCACTGTTATAAAGTAGGACTGGCATGGGAGGTTTGGGGAAACTAGGAAAATAGTGGAGAGATGCTCAGCACTGCATTGGAACACATAAAGGAAAGAATTGTCCAAAAGAAATATATGATTAGGCATTATGTGTATGACAACAGCCCAGAATAACAAGTCCATTGAAAAGTAGACTGGGGAAGGGGGAGGAAGGAAAGCATGCAACAATGCGTGAAAGAACAAAAGTGCCTCTGGAATTCAAATACCTGCAGGATCACCTGTGGTGGACACGCTTCAGTGGAGCTTCGAGACTAAAGACAGACTAACTGTCCAGTGTTTCAAGAAGAGTAATATTGTGCTTCTCAAGCATGTCAGTCACCTGGAGTTGGTGAAAAAACTGTAGATTTGGATTCTACCAGTCTGTGGTGGGACCTGAGAATGTGCAGCCTAGTAAAGCTATGTCTCCTCAGACCACACTTGAAATAGTAAGGAACTTCTCACAGATTCTCAAACTTGGCTGCAGATTGGCAGCACTTGAGGTGTTTGTAAACCATTGATGATTGATGCCACTGCCAAGGATTCTGATGCAGTACATCATGTGTGGGGTTTTGGTCTCAGTATTTGAGAGA